CAGTAGCAGTTGGCAAATAAATGTTATCGAAATGTTAGAGTATCCGTGCTTGCTATCTTTCCAGTAGCAGTTGGCAAATAAATGTTATCGAAATGTTAGAGTATCCGTGCTTGCTATCTTTCCAGTAGCAGTTGGCAAATAAATGTTATCGAAAATGTTAGAGTATCCGTAAAATAGCTAAAAGCAAGTTCGCCGTAGCACTTGTTTTATAGAGAAGCTACGCCAACCATTTGCAGAATTTGAGGGTTTCACTAAAAACGATTTGTAGTTTTGAATATTAAACGTAATGACGCAATTAGTTTTGTATTTCCAAACAGTTCGAAGTGTGCAAGTAAATATAGTTTAAAAATCACAAGACTTAGCTTCTTGATCATTTTATTTCAAAAATCATGTTTAAAGATACTGAAAATGGGGGACATTTGTAACTTCTGCCTTATCAACAGAGAGAGTTAATAACACATACCATCAAAAAGCAACATTTCTTGTTAGTATTCATTAACGTTCACAACGCCTGTAGGAAAAGGTGGTCTGGACTGGCTGTATAATAATAATAAAACATTTAGAGTTGTTATTATATATTTTACGCACCCTAACTTTTAGATAAATGTTTAGTGAAAAAAAAATGCGTATTATATTCGGAATACTACAGTAAATGTTAACTAATTTTCAGGTTGCTGTAGAAAAATTTCAGAACCTCTATTTCATATTTAATGAGCATAAATTAATTTCTTAAGTTGCACAAATGTACCCTACTTAAAACCTTATTAAGAGTAAAAAAACAAAAGCCGACGTATTTTGGCACAATAAAAGGTGAAATATTTAATATTAGTTACAAAACTAGTTTCGGTAACATAGTTTCCATCATCGGGGTTAGAATTTTGGTGTTGTTGATTCTCCCTTTTATAAACGTCCATTTTTAATCCTATTGTGAGTTTTAATACTACTGAAGGAACTTTCTGATACAGTATTAACACTATTTAGTACTAATTAATGAACACTCACTACGTGATAGGGTTATCATACATCCCGTTTTCATCATCTCAGCGTCCTTGCTAGAAAATAAAAATTAAAAAAGTCCAGTTTTTCTAGACCTCCGATTTAAAATTCAAAAATGTGTATGCAAGTAGAAAAAATGCTTAGTATTTGTGATAAATATAAAGCGTTTTAGACTCTAACATCATTTTTTAAATTTCATTTTATGCTGTTTTTGAAATTGAAACATACGACTAAAACAACTAGTACAAGGTTTCACTCCGTCCAGCCTGTATTTAAAGGTCAAGATAGTACTATTAAAAATTTTATTTATCTAGCTTCAATTTTTGTGTGTGTCTTTCTCTGAATTAATCTATCAAAAAGTTAGCATTTTTGGAGAATTGTTTGTTTTTCAAATAAAAAAATAGAAATATTTCTTAAATATTACCAAAATACTGTATGGATTATTAAAGTAAGGGTTTCTAAGTAAGATATTGCACAATATTAAAACTGTAGAGTATAAAAGTGTAACATCTTAAAAGAAAGGGTTTATAGTGACTATTTGTATAGTTGTAAAACTGTAATATGTTTAAAAAAATGAGGTTTTATAAACTGTCTTCAAAACTATTAAGCTGTATCATGTTAAAAACTAAGAATTTCTAAGTATGATCTTGAACAATAAATAACTGAATACGTTAAAAAGTAAGGGTTTCTAAACACTTTCTTCAAAATATTGAACTGTAACATCTTTAAAAGGATTCCTAATGACTATTTTAACAATTGTAAGCCTGTATAATGTTAAAAGTCAGGGTTTCTAAAGATTATCTCCAAAGGCATTTGTAATATATTAAAAAAGAAAGAGTTTTTATGATAATTTCAATAGTTGTAAACCTGTAATACACTAAAAAGTAAGGGTTTGTTGGCTTCAACAGCATCAAAAACTGAAGATTACATTTCCAATCACTAATAAACCCAATTTATTACAGTTCAGAACAATGTTATTTATATATAGAACTATACTTTAAGCAATATAACCATAACTGTAATAATAATGATAACTCATATTTTTATTAGAATTTTAACCACTATGCTTTCATATATCTTACCTTTTTCACTTAGCAATTCCATTTAGAAATATCACCTGTACGCCTGTGTGAGTATATACACTGTGCACAAACTGAAATATAGGACAATATTCTCCTTAAAAAGTATAGACAATTAAAATTTTATTTAATTCGTTTTAAAATAGAGCTACCCTTCTGTGAAATTTATTGGAAAGATTTAGTTTTCACGGTGCAGTTGTAATACTGCTCTGTGACTCAACAACTTTCTGAAACAAATGTTCAGGTTTCTCTGCATTGCAGTGTCTCGCCGTGAAGCATAATGCGCAAGTCTAACAAAAACGCCCTAGCGGCTCTAAGAACAATATACACACTTTTTACTTGATAATTCTTTTTCACGAAAATAAGTTTATGAATAAACCACATAAGTATCATTTTTTTCTACTTTATCTTCAATGACATTACAATAGTTCATTCTTGGTTTGTACTTAAAGACAATATTACTAATTGAAAAATCGTAAATATACTATTCGTCAAATAGTGTAGGTATGTTTGGTGACGTAATGATGATGTGCAGACAATTACGACGTATTGATGTTGTATTATGACGTCGGCATTGACGTTGGAAATCAGCTGGAGAGATGTGACGTCTTGTTACGATCCACTATCAGCTGATTGCTTGGGTGACGTTTCTTGACGCTGCTTTTCTAGGTGTTGTCAAATCATGTATAAATTCAGGTGTACTAGACATTGCATGTAATATCTGCTTGAATCTTCTTCCTGGAAGCAGTTGAAGAACATCAGGAACATTACGATCGATATGAAGCGTTGTCAGTTTGGATTATTTGGAACATAAGGGATCTCTTTTAGAAAACGATCTACTGTACTGAAAATCAGCTGATTCCAACAGGTAAATTTCAGAAAAGCATTTCCTTTAGACTGTGATAAAATTTCTAGTGCGAATAATAAGGTTGGCATTATTATATATTGAAAAGGCTGAATTTTCTTTTATTTAAAATTCATTCGAACGCCTATTTCAGAGTATGTATATATAAATATACATATACATAAAGAGGAAAATATCTATGCTGTTTTATTTGTTTTTCTATTGAGACAAACATGCATGTAAAAATTCACCTGATAACACTGTATCTAAGTGTACTTACAATTATCACCATTCTTATTTAAAACTGGGGAATGTTATACAATGTACAAACATATTAAAGGATAAACGTAATTTGTATTGCTATAGCTTTGATAAAATAAAACTGCTCTTACAAAATTACGTAAATTTTCCTCTAAGCTCAGTATTATGCAGATCGGGCTAGATGATAATCTGTTATGTGATTTTAAAATTCAGCCTGTGTTATATGAATAGTGCTCTTACCTTGGTTGCTCTTTTGAAGTGAATCACGATTTTAAAGCATACCAAATTGTTTATGAACCATGTCTAGCCAGCCTAGACACAAACACATCTAGAAGTTCCACTCATGTTCTTGGCGAATTGAAGCCGGCCAATAAAATCAAGTTGTTGCAAATTGGCTTAAACTGTCGTTAACATAATTAATTTAAAACCGCTTCGAAACCAATCATAAAGTTTTTTAGGCATTTGAACAAGGTAAACCATCACCCATGGAACGAGCAAATGGTCGATCTCGATTCTTGTTTACACCGGCAATTGAACATTATGTTAGTGTACAGACGATTGGAAACAGATTTTCAAGGCCAATCTGAAGTGTTCATAATATCAGCCACAAGACAATTCGCTTACACTATTGCCCAGAACAGGTCCAATGGGCAAACAATTTTTGGAATGATAACTTTGTTTTAAGACGAGTCGCGCCTCACCCTGCAGCCAGATAGCGTGCACATATCCATATGGAGAGAATCTGTAACAAGATCCAACTCCATTTTCATACAGAAACGTGATGCATATGGCAGTGATGGAAGTATGGCGTGGGCAGGAATAAGTATTGCTAGACTAAAATGTTTAACTCTCGTCATAATGAAATCTTCCACAACTAAACCAGTACCTAGTTGTTTAGCTGTCATCATAATGAAGTCTCGTGTAACCAAACCGATATCAGATCGTTTAGCTCTCATTATAATAAAACATTGTACAATTAATATAATACCAAATTGTTTAGCTCTCTTCTTAAGAAATCCCTGTATAACCAGACCAATAACAAATCTTTTAAGGCTCATCATAATTAAACCTTGTTGATCTAAACTAATGCCTCTCATAACAATTGTAAACTCTGATACTCAACAAAAAATATGGTGAGACCATAAAACTGAAAAGTTTATAAACAGAACTATAACAAAACGTTTAACTGATGATGCATTTCAATTAACTTAAAAGTAATAAAGATGGTATTCTTCATTCTGATCTACATTATTTTAGATGTGAAAAAGTAAAAGATATTAAACATTTTAACTAAAATAATCATTTCACTGAACGCTTTGTAATACATATTGTCATGGTGACAAAATACTGTATGTCTACTACAGAATCGGTTGGGGTATCTACATAACAAAAAGCACCCAGTGTTGATAAGCATGATGAATTTAGCAGTTGACTGTCACTCTTTTCGCGCACTTATGACTCAAAAGTGCGACGGAATACGTTTTTCTGCAACAGGCGTCGAACCACAAATCCTTTGGTTCACAGCGCAAGCAGGCTAACCACTAGATGACGCCTTACCCAAGAATATTTGTTAAATAAGTCTAGGTTATGCAATTTTATTCAAGAGGTCATATTCTGAAAGAGAATCTATGACCAAAAATGAAAGGAATAGCAGTAACAGGGTAATCCAAGCATAAGCATCCAAAAACTTTGTTTAACCCAGTGAAAAAGAAAGAATGATTACTAGTAAAAACATAAAACAATTATAATGGTATATAACACCGAAAATTTGTTCGGAAACTTAGAATTCAAGAATTTCAGATGTCATATTTTCTATCCTCCAACTATGTTCTACTGAATCAAAACTGTCTTCAAAACTAATTTTAATTGTTTGCGTGTTTGTTTTTAAGCACAAAGCTGCACAATTTTTAGTGATACAAACCCTCATACTTACCGTTGAATTAGTACGTGTGATGCGTCACTTAAAGGTTAACGAATTCAAAAATGCTAAATACTAAAAAAACACCAAAACATAAGCTTAATTCATAAAAATTAACTCAAAATCATAAACAACGCCAAAAAAACATTTCAGAATATTCAAAATCGTTAAAAAATGACAATATTCAATTTTTGATTCGTTGTCCTGCTTTCCAGGACTCAAATTTTGTCTACCATTTAAGGGTATGAGATTTCTGTTCCAGCTGGATACAAAAGAGTTAAAAAATGAAAAATGTTTAAAAAAGACCCTTTAAAAGATAATTCAAAAATAACCAAAAAGTATTACAAAATGCTCACGATAAATACTCATGAAGGTTAATATGAAATCCCAAATCCAGTGATATGAGCTTTCTGATTATTTCCACAGTCTTTCATTCCCTTATAAACATGGGTAAGATCTTTAATTTCATTCATTACCTCAATATCTTTCTCAGTTATCTTTCTATCAAATTGATCAGGTAAAAATATTTGGAATTCGTTCCAGTTTTCATCTATTAGCACAGCTACAATTCTATCGCCAAACTGAGTTTTAATTATTTTTAATTCAGAGACAGAGAAACGTTCTCCTTGATTTAATTCATTCAGTTTACAAGTTTCGATATATTGAAGTGTTCCAATAATATTAGGTTTTTTTACTGCTTACATTTATATAAGAGAAAAATAACCCCAAGCTAAATTATTAATACCATATAGTAATTTATCTTTTGTCATCATTCGAGCCTAATTTGAGTAAAATATATTTCATGCTTTTTACTTGTTATTAGATTCATTATTTTGATATTTCTTTTTGATTATATAAACATTCGTTATATTCATCGAATGTAATTATATTTTAAAAAACACAGTTTTAACACCTTTAGGCTTCTTACAAATTTAATCTTTACAAATTTTAAAACATACGTGTTAGACCTAACCTACAAATTTTCTCAGTATTTTCACACTGTTTCTGTCTTTCAGTTTACCAAAAACAATGTTTTTTACTAACGGAACACCATAATAATTGTATTTTAGAAAATATAAAGTATCAAATAATTATTGTTTTCTTTTATATCCTCTGTTTTTATGTCGTAAATATGAGAATCAGTATCTTGGTACAATAAGTCATCACCATACTTTGGTTTGATGATTATTTTTATTTTATTAAAATGAATAGCGGATAACATTTCTTTAAATATTGTTCTATCCTTGAAGTTTGGTTTCGCTATTAATAGTTCAACTTTATATTAACTTTTTTTTTCTAATTTTTCCATGGTCTTTCCAAATACAGAACTATTTAACAATTAGCAAAAATCTTTTCGAAATAATTAGTGGCTTTAGTTCTTAGTTTTGTATTTAGGCGAGTACATATCTTAAAACAATAAGATTGTTTGAACTCTAGAGCTATAAATTTACTTCGGTTTCATTCCTAATAATAAATATTGTTTGAGATTTCTACTTCTAAAATATAACTAATTTCAGAATCATCAGACACTTTTATTATATCAACGTTTACATCACTTCATTTAAGTCCTCCATAGGGTAAACATTGACTCATTGCCCAACCATATATGTTATTAGCATCGAGATAAGCCAAATTATCATTTTTAATTGCGATCACAATTTTTTCTGTATTTATTACGTGCTTTGCTATATCTATTACAACAATGAGATATATCTCTACAACTACCTTTCTCAAGCATTAAAATCATATCATATTCACCTACTAATTTTAATTCAACATCGGCCATTTTTAACATTGCATCTCATGATAACACCGGGTGCTGTGTAGTACCAAGCAAGGTCTAACTTATATGTTTTCAAACAAACATTTCTAAAGTTCTCGAAAATACCAACATATATAAAAAAAATATCAGTCTTTACATAAAGATCAAAAATATTTTCCCAAGTTTAGTATCCTAAACTCTTTCCAAACATTTTGAGTATGATTCTAGTCATCATCCGATATGTCGCACTCGTTCTATATACTGGGAAATTAGTCTTTTGTGTTTCATTGCATTACCAAACGAGTCCATATAATCATAAGGTTAGGCTGCTTTTCTTATTACAAGATTAAGTTTACTTTCTGAAAAATATTGCATTGTATTTTTAATCTGCTCTTTCTTAAGATTACTTGAAAGTTTATCTAAGCCACTGACCATGAACTTAAATGAATCTATAAGTCTTAATTTCAGGT